GGGCAATGTACAAAAACACATTAAAATCACATGATTTACACAGACAAAACTCAGAATTACCATTAATAGTGATTAGCCTGATTAATGTTAGTGTATCCTCCATCCTCCTATTTCTGCGCACCTAAGGCTTTGAAACAAAACTTCCAGAAAACTACAGAGCAGTTGAAATTTTTCAGAGGTGATTTTATTTCTACAACTCGCAGCCTGTAATCGAAGCAATACACACGAAAGAGTTACTTCTGTTTGTGCCCAGGGGTAGGGTAGTGGGTTCGACCCATGTGTGAGTAAAAATCCCTGCCTAAATTTACACAGCTGGTGGTTTTTGAAATCTACGGTGGCCAAGACGTGCTACACAAGATATATTTACTGAATGGGCAAGTCCCAGTATTTGGCATTGTAACAGCACATAATCTTTGAATTTTTAAAAGCAATTTGAACAGTTTAAACTTCAAATCTTCTAGTCGTTTCCACTTCCTTTGAATAACTTTTTAAAATCAGTAATGGGGAGATGAACTTTAACAAAGAATGGTATTTTTACATTTTTAACACGAGGTTCCTCGGTCTGTCACTATTTAACATCCTTGCATAATAAATTACAAGTAAAGTCCCTTCATGTGTACTTTGCTTATTTACTTGTCTGTTTTGACAGTCTTTGTGAGCCCAACACTAAATACATGTATGGCACCCCGTATCCTCCAGTGGTCTGTCCCCTATTCTGTACACCTCATGACTCTGTATTAACCCTAACCCCCCAAGGGTTGCTGGCCCTAACCTTCCCCATTCACACAAAGTTATGGGACTTTGTGCACAGAGGCTGTTGGACCCAATGCAAAAGCCAGCTACATGTACACGTATTTGGGCCAACCAGACCTACCCCACAGCATTAAACACTTTCTACTGTTTAATTCTGTGTGGTTGGGGAAGGTTAGGGTTACCATCACATCTACCTTGTCTCTAAATCCACCTCCCAAAATAAATCTGTAATCATAATAATGAACAAAGAATTTTTCATGAGAAGACAAATAGTCTTGATGTCCTCTAAAAACACCTTCCTGTGGCTGGTAGACCTAATTCCATTCCTAGAGAACTGTGATATCGTTTGAATCGACTGAGATAATTATTCATGTTAACCATTATTTTAGTTATTCATATGAACCATCAGATGCTGTCCTCATTGCTTGAAGTGGGGTATTAAAGAAATGCCAGTACACTGAAGCAAAGAGTTTCATGCTCATTTAATTTCAACATTTACTGCCACGTTCTTTGTTATTTGTGCACCTTGCAACCACTTTCTCAAGTTAATCATGTTAATGAGCACCCCTATCCCCATCCACACCCCATCCCACACCCTTGGGGTTTTGTCTGTGCCCTTTCCATGTTAATCAGGTTGGTGCACACCCCACCCCACCACTGATTACCCTTATTCATTGAACATGGGTAACCCAGTGTCAACCCAAGTAATCTAGCTCTCTTCTTGGAAGAAAAATCAGACACAAACACTAAAACTGTATGCATATATTCACTCACTTGACAGACAAAAAATGAACATTTTGAAACTTCAAATATGAGCAATTGCACCCCTGAAGCACTTCACTGGGTCAACAAATTTTAATGACATCACATGACATGTCAAAGTACATACTAGACAATAAGGGACGAACTGTTAGATGACATGAAGACGTCTGAATTGTGGGGCTTTTTTTAGGGGGGGGGGACTCACAACACAAACTCCAGTATACATACATGTAATAATGGTGTGTCTAGGAAATTTCTCTGAATAAAGGTCGCCATAAACTAAGATTACAGGATTAATTGCCAACATTGTAGTGCTGCAGTTGGGCTGGTCCAACAACTAGTGAACTACTAATTATTGACCAATTTCTGTCATCTTGGTCACGTCTGCAGAAAATTTCTCATCCTTATCCAAATTGCGCCCACGATGATCAGTGCGTTCGCTGAAAATGTTCAGTACGCCGACACAAAATTGCGTATACGGATGTGTGGCTAAGGATGGATCGGGAGTGAGAGTCCGTGCCATACTAGTGCCTGGGGCTACATCGATTGCAGACATGGTCATGATGGTTTGGAAGACCTACCTGCGTCTTTCGTGCTTTTTATCCCGATGTCGTTTCCTTTCCCTAGACCTTGAACGTGAAATTTCTTTCCTCTTTCCTGATCTCCCCATGACTACTGAAGAAATCTTCGCGTGTGGGCCAAAGAAAACAGTACACCCAATCGTTTCTGCTGCGTTATTTTCACAACACTGTGGACAACGCCATCTTCTTCTTTCAAACAACCTTTTGCTCAGGAGGGCTAATAACGGGACGTAACTGAGTGGAGAGCATAAACGAGGTTGAAAAATCAAACAAAACCAAAACACAAAACGCCAGCAATTGATGGCGCTGTTTGGAACATTTTGAGAAGCGTACTTATCATCGAGGTAATGCAATGGATGTACTTAACTTGAGGATGTTCAGGCGCTTCTGTAGTTCACTTTTTACCGTTCAGCTGTTGTCCATAACATGACTTTCGAAAACCCGATTTACTGGTGAGAATTGTTCCGGGCACGATTAAAAAGGTGAGAAGGAATTCTCTAACCTTCAGTTCAACGTAAAGCTCTCGAATGGCATGACACTTGACAGGTAGCAAAAAAAATGCAATGAAAAGAGGTGCAATTTTAATTAAGGAGTGCGTTAAAATACTTTTATTGCCTTGTCGCTTTTGATTTTATACCCAAATTCTCATAGCCTCTTAAACCTTCGAGTTTTGGGTTTGTGTGCTTAGGTTTTGGCATCCATATTTGATGAATGAGGCAGATCATGAACTCCATCGTCCTGTCCAGTCTTGAACTAAAATCCTTTTTTTTAAATTTAACATTTATCATGTTTATTCAGAAGAATTACTGTTAATTCAATCCCACACAAGAGCATGCCTAGGCATTAGCAGCACTATTGACAGTGATGGAGGCTGATCAGCCGCCCCTCGAAGAACGTGACGGGGCCCAAGAGCAAATGACTGTAGCCAGCCCGCTGGACGACATCGAGTCCATATGCAGCGAGTTGGAGAACGTCCAGCTGACTGATGACGAGACGACGACCCTGCTCCACGAAGCGCTGGAGCTGAACAAGCGGCTTAAAGAAGAGCTGAGGAGACGGGAGGTGGACGACGGGAGAGCCCGGGACGCGACTGTCGGTGGTGCTGGGGTGGGCAGGAGGGGGGATGCAGTCAGCGCATCGCTTCCGCCCATCCATCCCAAGAAAGGCCTGTCCGTCACTCAGCGGCGCATCTACAATTCGGTCGAGATGGGAGAGCGTTCTCACAAGACGAAGAACAGAAGAGTGGCCGTCGGTGCAGGGCAGAGGAAGGCTCACAGTGCTGATGTACGTACATGTATATGCAACAGTGTAGTTACAGCCCAACATGTGCATGTACGCCCTCATGATGCATCACACTGTTTTCTGTAGTGCAGAATGAAATAGGGATCATCGGTGCATATAGGGGTCATTCTGTAAACTTGGGTCCGACATGACATTTTTTCTGTCCCTGTGAGTACGCTCGACCTGTGTAATTTGACAAGGGATATAAATGTATTTTGATTTGGCAGGTACATGTAATTTTTAATCACTCTTGGAAATTAAAGAACGTGTTCAAAATTTACATAATGATACATCAGATGTACCAGGAACAGGACAGAAACAGGCTGCAGGTTTACAGAATGACCCATCTTGCCATACACCGCCATCGTGAGCATAACTCCATCTCTAAAAGGCAATTATTCGGGATGGTAAGAAGCATCTTTAAACATTCCAGGAAATTGTCTTCCACAACTTGGAATGATAAGATTATGCCTGTCACTCTCCACAGATGACCCCCAGTCTTCAATTATCCCACTGTGCACTGTGGTAAACACTGTGATATATCATCGGGACACAGGTCTGTTTTTATCATCAGACTTACCCTCATGCGTGCCCTGTGATGTTGAAAATTCAGTTCCCCCCCCCACCGCGTACCCTCAGTGTCTCGGGCAGTCGGCCACCAAACTGAATTTCTTGTGAAGCGAATTCCACCCGGATCTGCTGTATCAAATAGCCATGCCTGCAATGCTTGGTTTGTGAATTATGCCCGGTGAGTTTGCCGTGTTCTCCACTGACGACATTTTCTCATTTCTTTGCCAGGGTGGTCATCAGCAAACTGCCTCGCCCTTGACTCGCCCCCGAGCGAGGGGAACCCAGTCGGCCGAATCCAAACAAAGACCAGAATGGAATGACAGGTTTTCGTTTTAAGAGAACAATACCTACATCATTTTAAATTCTTCTGGTCCAATTTCTTTATTCCTATATGTTGAGGTACACTGACTGATCCAGAAGCAGTTTTGGGGGCCAAATGTTTTTTGGGAGTGCCCCAAAATTTTGGAAACTTTTCATGTAACCTTTTTGCTTTTCTGAGACATGAGCTATTGAGCTTGCATTTCGGAGCATTCTACGTGCCAAAAGCATCAACCCTAGCACTCCTTAATCCCCTGTCAGAGGATTGAGGACTACATGTAAGCCTGTAGATTTTTATCAGGATGCTGCCATGTTTGTCATGTTCGCTGTAGCCCCGTCAGCAATAACAGCACAACCTCACATGTTGATAAAAAGGAATAGGTGGTTTTTTCTTGGCCTCAGGTGGCCTCAGGGTGTGTCCAAAACGGGCTTCCAGAGCTACGGCTGGGTCTATTGTCTGCATGTCTCCACGTATTTCTAATGGAGTGAAGACCTAGACCTAGCTCTGGACAACAGATTTGGATGCAGCCTACATTTGGTTACGTAGCTTTGACTCTTAGAAAAGCAAGATGTCTTCCTGTGACAGAGGTCTACACAATAGGAAGTGGGTTCACATGTTGGCAGATGCTTTCATCAGCACTCATGTGTTGCAGCCCAAAGCCAAGAACATGCAATTTTCATGATCAGTGTACATGGACAAAAGAAGCCACGACCAAAAGTGGAGCTTCTTGATTGCAAAAAGCAAACTGCTCACATGTGTTAAACCCTACAAACGAGGTGGTTATGGGTTTGTTTCAGCTGTAAGTAAATGTTTTGTGTTGGTAACAATATTTAAGGTGTTTGAGCTGCATTTTAAGTGTAAAAACCAAAAATTCAGTAACTGATTGAAGTTTAAACGCAAGTTCTCTGTGTACTTTCTGTCCACTAGCTCTATGCGAATTCCACATGGATGGGTTACTGCATCGGTACGCAATTTATTCACATACATGATGATGAATATGTAAATATGCAAATGCTGAAATGAAAATAACAAATGGACAAGGGCTGACTGTATAGCCTATTACTTTCCATCACTCGACAGGGTAGGCATATGCAGGTGTGACAATTTTGTATTCGTTACAATGGACGGCTGACAATCATTTGGGAAGTGTTTCTGTGTAGAGCTGTACAGGATACATGTACATTTGAAGCAAGATAACAGAGAGAACCCCCCCTGCCTTTGTGTTGGTCATTATTTGATCGGAATCTCAGGAATTCTTTACAGACTTCT